CAAGGCCGATCCGTGCAGCGCAACGCGAGGCTGATTTTTAGCAATCTGCGTCAGGCTTTGCCGGGGTGTTTGCCTGCCCGCCTCCTCCTTGTGGGGAGGAGGAGGAGGAGGAGGAGGAGGAGGAGGAGGAGGAGGAGGAGGAGGAGGAGGGGGAGGAGGAGGGGGAGGCGTGTTCTGCTCCCCTGTGGCGTACACCACGGCAGGGAATATCGTCCCTCCCTGCGCCGCCAGCGTTACTTGGCACCCGTATGCCGAAATCTGTCCGCCCCCACCCCTCTGGACAGCATCTACATCGTAGTCTGAATACCCGTGGGACGGGGTTTACTAGTTCGCAGTTGAGATACGGCAAGATAGTTTTTTGCCTGCGACCTCTTATGAAATACAGTTGTTCTGGCACCCTGATTCGCAATCCACGACGGGGAGTATTCCCTGCGGCATCTTCCCTTGCCCCCTGCCTCCGCCCCTTCTGGGCAGTACAGAACTAGTAGCCTGGACATCAGTGATCGGAGTTCGCTTTTAGACACGCTAAGACAATTGAGGAGGGCGTGCCCTTGGTGGACTCATACTGGGGAGTCCCATGGTGGAGTCCCGTGGTGGAGTCCTACTGGGATCCGATTCTTCTGGGGATGCTCCTTGAACCTACTGGGAGTCCCACAGCGGTGGGTCCCATCGATCCGATTATACTGGGAGTCGCGTGGTGAGTCCTATTAGGATGCTCGTTGAACCCTATCAGAATTGAATTCGGATCTTACTGGGTTTCTGTTGCACCCTTATTGTGCTCTCATTGGAATGCGATCGGGTTCTTATTGGGATCCTATTCGGATCTTGGTGGGATCCCGCGCTGAGGGTTCCAGGGGCGGGACATGACTTCCAGGCACGATCAGTGATAGAGTTTCGCCGAAGACGAGGTTATCGACAGTCACCTCTCACGATTACCTCTTTTGACGGCTCTCCCAGGCACTCGTGGGCGAAGAGCACGTCCGGACCCGCGGCCTCGCGGGCCGAGCACTTGGGCCGCGACCGCGCGGGCACCGGGCATTTTGACGCGGAGGCCCCGCGCAGAGCGTATCCGCGCGACCGCGTATGCGCGGGATCGCGCCCCGGGAATTCCAGACCGCGAGGGCGTTGGGCCGCGATGAATGGGGGGGCGATACATGGGGGGGGCGGCGAGGGCTGCAGAAAAGGAGTTTTTTAGGGCCCCTCAAGGACCCCTTTAGGGCCTATAGGCCCTAAAGGGCTCCTTGAGGGGACCTCTCTTCCTAAAGCCCTTTAGGCCCTATAGAAGGGGACCATTAGGGCTCGAAAAGGGCACCTTTCTTCCCCCCCCCATTTATCCCCCCCCCCCCGGTTAATTTGCGCCCAGGGACGCGGATGCGGACGTTTTTGAAGCCGGATCCGGCTCAAAAGAATTGCTTGTCTTTGAAGCCAGATCCAGCCTCAAAAGCCGGATCCAGCCTGAAAGACACGCAGTTCTCTCGGACCGCCGCTCGTGGGGCACACGGGCGGTCCCGGCAGAGAGCCACGCCTGCGTGCGGAGGCCAGCCGGCCCCCGGGCGAGAGCGCCGGGAGGGGCGGTCCAGGGCACACGAGGCGGCCCCACGGGCCAGCGGGGGGGGGGCCCTGCGGGTCCCCGCCTGGTGTTGCGAAAGACGATCTGGAGAGGAGGCATGCTGTCAAGTAGTATTCGGATGTCCAGAACGTGTTGAACACATGTTTAGAACATGCAAGGACACGTTGGCAAGATGTGTTGCAAATTCTTGAAAACATGAGATGAACACTTCCAAATCTAATGATAGGGCGGCTCGAGTGTCCACTGTCATGGCACCCAGGAGCCTTGTGGGAAGGAGCCACGCGGCGTTGGAGGCCTGGGCTGTGCACAGGCGCTCCGTCGCGCTGTCGCTGCCGCCCGCGCCCTCTCCGCGGGCGGGGCCCGGCCCATCCCTCCCTGGCGCCGTGCCAGGCGTGGATGCGCTCGCTGCGGTCAGGAGGTTTGGCTTGGCTTCGTCCCTCCGCCGGTCCCGGCCCACCACGCTTCGGCGCAGCATGCTATCCGCGTCCTGGCCCCCCAGGGTCAAAGTCCCGAGCCGTTCCCAAGCCCCCGCCCAACGCTGTCTGCTCGCACGGCACAGCGTGTCGCCAGGGCCGCCGCCGCGACACGCTGAGCAAAATTTCCCGACAGCAAGTGGTAGCATTGCAAATAGGGGGGGGGGAAAGGGGGGAAAGAGGGTCGGGTCACCTGATGGGCCGATTTTCTACCACCACCACCATTACCATAGGTAGGAGAGGGAAAGAGGAGGAGGAGGACGAGGAGGAGGGGGAGGAGGAGGAGCTCCCCAGCCTCCCTTCTCCCCCGTCCTACCTATGTTGTTGAACTCTCATTCTGGAGGAATAATTATTGTTGATCCCCCCCCACCGGTGCACATTGATTTTTTTCGATTGAAGTGCCACCCCCGGGGCTCGCACCTTATTTTTCTCAAGGAAAGTCTTCCTGCTCAAACTGTGCCCCTGCCCCCCGGGCTACAACAACAACGGCTCCCGCCTGAGACTTCCTCGATTTTTACTCAGGACCCCCGCTCCCGCCTGAGACTTCCGCGCAATTTACTCAGGAAAGGCGCTCCCGTCTGAGACTTCCTCGCAATGTAATCAAGACCCCCGCTCCCGCCTGAGACTTCCGTGCAATTTACGTGGGAACGGCGCTCCCGCCTGAGACTTCTTCGAATTTTACTCAGGACCCCCGCTCCTGCCTGACATTTCCGCGCAATTGACTCAGGAACGGCGCTCCCGCCTGAGACTTCCTCGCAATTTAGTGAGGACCCCCGCTCCCGCCTGAGACTTCCGTGCAATTTGCTCAGGAACGGCGCTCCCGCTTGAGACTTCCTCGCAACTTAGTCAGGGCCCCCGCTTCCGCCCGAGATTTCTCACAATGTACTCAGGACTGCGCTCTCGCGTGCGACGTCCTCACAAATTATTCTGGAATTGCGTTTCGGCGCTCAGGAACCACGCACGCGCCAAGGACGCCTTCACAACGTGGTATCTTCCCTCTTCCTTCGTCCTTCCCCCTCCCCTTCCTCCCGCTCTCCCTCGTTCTTCCCCTCCTCCTCTTGCAGGGCCCGCGCCAATTCCAATGGCGGGCAGAGAGATGTACGCCCCCGAAGGATTGGCCGCCCGTTCCGGTTTGCCCGTACGTCTAAGCCCGCCGGCCCCAGCAAAGAGAAATAATCCCCCCGAAAGGGGTGTGATCGAAGACGAAGAGGGCGGGCATCGAGGGTGTAGGGTATACGGTATACGTGTTGAATGACTCGCGGGCAAGTAAGAGCGTACAGCCTTAAAATGGTTGTTGTTGTTGTTGTTGTTGGTGGTGGTGGTGGTGGTGGTGGAAAATTGGCCCACCATCAGCCCTTAAAACCCGCTTGTGGTCGTCGCCCAAAAGGCCCATTGACTGGGTCGTGTCGACTGGCGGCGACCACGCCGCCGGCGTTCGACGTTGAACGCCGCCAGGTATTAAGCATCGCTCGATGTTGAACGATCGATCGAGGTTGAACGATCCCCGCCGTCGAAGCCTGCACAGCAAGAAATTGCCGTATGCTTGAAAGGCTCTAGGCCTCCCAGACGAGGTCCGAGTAGATGGGGTCGGAGGATCGCGCCGCATCGCCGATGCATCGCCGATGTGACTCGATGTGGAGTCCGACTTTCTCCACGCCGACGGCGCCGATGCATCGCCGACGTTGCCGATGCATAGATGCATCGGTGATGCGGCGCGATCCTCCGCCCCCATCTATTCGGACCCCATCTAAGAGGCCTCTACTGTATGGCCCACCCTCTCCCCTTGAGGTGTTGGCGGTCACGCCGCGGCGGCACTCCCAGAGCCGCTGGCGCCAACACCGCACGAGGCCCCGAAGGCCAGCGGTGCGGCGGCTCTGGCATGAGGAGGAGGAGGAGAAGGAGGAACAGAGAAGGAGAGAAGGAGATGGAGGAGGAGGTGGAGGAGGAGGAGGAGGAGAAGGAGGAGTGGGAGGGGGATGGGGGGGGGAGGAGGAGGAGGAGGAGGGGGAGGAGGAGGGAGGAGGAGGAGGAGGAGGAGGAGGAGGAGGAGGAGGAGGAGGAGGAGGAGGAGAAGGCACATGTATTGGAGCCGTCTGGGGATTTGATGTGGTCCAGTACTGGTTTCGGCGAGCAGGATGGGGGGGCGAGGTCGGATCGGAGGCGCTGGATTCGGGAGGGTTCTTTGCGCGTTTCGGCCCCTGAGGGCCGTTTTCGGGCCATGCGACCGTCAAGAACGGATTTGGGGTGAAAGACTGCACCAGATGGATTCCAGCAGGGGTCCAGGGACCGATTTTGAGCGGATTTGGCCGCATCCCCCCTTCTTGACATAATTTTTGGGACTTCAACAGCTTCAGACGCCCTGTCCGCCTCTAAAGTAGATCTTGGTTATGCTGTAGTCGTGTACCTTCTCCTCCTTCACGGGCTACTTGCTTACGTAGTTATTTTACGCCCCTGCCGTCGCCTCGTCTTTCTCACTATTCTCTGCCAATCTTCATGTCTGCATTCGTTTACAGTTTCATTTGCTGGCCACAGTGCCCGAGTCGGCGTTTCATTGCCATTCAGTTGCTTCGACGACCTTGACGTCACGATTCCCGTCGATCTAAGTGTGCCTGACCCCAAAAAAGAGGATCGGGGGCGCCGTGCCAGGCCAGGACTCGCACACGATCGCGGCCCTTTCATGGACTGATGCGCGGCCGTGCGTGAACGGGCGTGCACGGTCATGCCCCCGCGTGCGCGGATCGTGCTCCGCCTCTCCAGAAGGGGGCCAGGACGAACACCGAGGGAGGGAGGGAGGGGAGGAGGAGGGAGGAGGAGGAGGAGGAGGAGGAGGAGGAGGAGGAGCAGGAGGAGGAGGTTTCCCCGGATCGCTCCCCCTGGAATAGGGGGGGGGGGGGGGGGGGGGGGGCCAGAGGGGGGGGGGGAGGGCAGGCCGTGGCTGGGAGTCCAGGCGCGCCCCCATGGCCACGACATGGGCCATGACGGGCGTCTCTTCCCCCCTCGGGGGGTGGACAGACCTCCTACCCGGACACGTCGATGAAGGAATTGGCCGTTTTCGGTTCGCGAGAGGGCGTCGCGGCCGTCACTTTTGCGGGTCCAGGTCCGTCGGTTTCGGTCCCAGGCCGTTTCCACTGAGGGGAGGTTTGCTAAAGGGAGGTTTGTCCACCGCCGATCGTGGCTGGGAGTCCAGGCGCGCCCCCATGGCCACGACATGGGCCATGACGGGCGTCTCTTCCCACCCCCTTCCCCGCAAATCTAGGGGAACCAAAAGTGGCATAAACATAAAACTCGGAGGTCCGCGCGGATTCCTCGGATCGGCGCTGGACCCCCCTCCCCGGCGCGCGGAGCCCGCCTTGGGGCGGCGCCGGAGGCGCCGCCGGGGGGGCCCAACGCCGATCCGAGAAATCCGCGCGGACCTCCGAGTTGTCATGTTTATGCTACTTTTCGTTCCCCTAACGACGGGCGTCTCTTCCCACTCCCCCTTCCCCACGCCTCTGGCGCTCCGATGCTGTTGCTGCGTGGCCCCAGCGCCGATCCGAGAAATCCGCGCGGACCTCCTAGTTTTCATGTCTATGTCACTTTTTGTTCCCCGAACGTCTGGCGCTCCGATGCTGCTGCTGCGTGGCCCCGCGGAGCTCTCGACCCCCCCCTGTCCCCACGACGAGCCTCGCAGAACCCCGCGGCCGCCTCCCGGACGGCCCCGAGGCCCGAGACCGGCCTCTCCAGGGTTTGTTGTTCAATCTTCAGGAGGGAAAGAAACACACAGACTCAATTAATCCTCGATTCCCTAGAAAATATCGGAAAATACGGGAAGTGGGGGGTAAGACAGAGACCCCGAAAATATGGGGAAATATGGGGAAATAGGGTTTGTTGCTCAATCTGCACGACCGAAATGGGTACGGAGAGAATGGGTACAATGCCCAACAGCAGCTCCTGTTCATTCTGAACAGGACTCGCTGTCCGCGCCGCCGCGGCCTGTGCCCATTCGAGACAGGAGGCCGTCTGCCCAACAGCGGCCGCTGTTGGTTTGGGACAGCATTTGTTGTTGGGCGTTGTGCCCAGTCTTTCCGTGCCCATTTCGGGCGTCCAAATTCAAGGCGGCGGATGGCCCTGAGTTCAAGCCATTTTGTCTCAAGCCATTTTGGCTCAAGCCACTTCGGCTCAAGACATTTTGGCACAAGCCCTGGTGCCATGTCGTTCTGGATGGTCTCCAGAAATCGCTATGTCCCTCGAAGCGTCGATCAAGAACTGCGGCCTGACAAGACAGTGGTGCGCCGCACTGCGGTTGCTCCGCGAAGGAATTCAATTGGGTGTGCAACTCGTCCCAAGCCACTACGTTGCGACTGTCAGCGCATGCAGAAAAGGCGGGCAATGGCAACACGCGTTGTCAGTGCTCAGTGACATGTGGGATGCGAAGCTGGAGCCCAACGTCATCAGCTACAGCGCTGGGATCAGCGCGAGCGCGAAGGGCGGGCAGTGGCAGTCTGCGCTGGCTCTGCTGAGCAAGATGTGGGAGGCGAAGCTGGAGCCCGACGCCATCTGCTACAACGCCGGGATCAGCGCGTGCGAGAAGAGCGGGCAGTGGCAGCGGGCGCTGGCACTGCTGAGCGAAATGTGGGAGGCGAAGGTGGAGCCCGACATCATCTGTACTACATTTCTGGTCGTGGCGCGTGCGAGAAGGAAAATCTGCGGCAGCGCCCCAAGCCGCCCAGAGAGCCCGCGCTCCTCGACGGCTTCAGAAGGCCCCTGGAGCGCTCGCCGACAGCTCCAGGACCCCCAGATCGCCCCAAGACGGCCTCACAAGGGCCGAAGCCGACCCGACCGAATTCTCCTGACGGCCCCACAAGGCCTCAGAGACGGCCCCCGAGGACCGCCTGGACGGCGCCAAGGGGCAAAACTTCTCAATTTTCCGAAGGTTTCGAGGGTCTTCTTGTTCTCGGGACCACAACGGCCCAGGATGGCCCTGGGGGGCTTCCCACATCGCCCCTGCACGGTCCAAGAGGGCCCCAGGAGGCCCCCTAGACGGCCCGAGAAGGCGCGTAGACGGCCCAAGAGGGCCCTAAGACGGCCCAAGAGAGCTTCAAGTGACTCCCAAGTCAGCCCCAACCGGGCCCCAGACCCCGCCCGACCAGGCCCAAAGCCCGAGACCCCCAAGATGGCCCCAAGACGCCCCCAGAAGGGCCCAAGATGCCGCCCAAGAGAGCCCAAGGCGACCTCCGAGACGGCCCGAGACCCCCAAGATGGCCCCAAGACCTCCCTGCGCGGCCCCCAACCGAGGCCCGCAAACGTGCCCCCTCACTCTGACTGTGCCTGAAAACCCTTGTGTTTTTGCTAATCGCGCCTAGGCCCGGCGCGATTAGCAAAAACCCATATCTTTTCACGCTTCCAGGTCAGTGCCCCCGGAGCTCCCCGACTGCTTTCCAGGTTGCCCCCCAGACGTGGCTTGTAAACGTCGGCCGCACACGTGGCCCCCAAACGGGACCCCCAAAGGCGGCCCCCACACAGAGCTTCCGAAGGTCGCCCCTACCGCCCCAGTAAGCGTGGCCCCCGAACGTCACCCCCACGCGTAGCCCCCAGGCGCCCCCAAACGTGGCCCCCACACAGCCCCCAACCATTGCCCTCAAACGTGACCGTCACATGTGCCTCCGAAGGTCGCCCCTACCGCCCCAGGAACGCCAGAGCTGTTCAACGTCGACGAGCTGGTTACCTACGGTGTGCGAGTCCCAGGCTCAGCACGCCGTGGATTTAATCCACGGGTTCACACTAGTCATCTCTACTACATTGCAGAGCCCAGTGCGTGCCAGAAGGGCGCAGGCTCCAATGTCTCAAAACCGCCCCGGGCTGGCCCCGGGCCGCCCCGGGCCGCCCAGGCAGGCTCCAGGACATGTCGGGAGGGCCCCCAGAAGCCCCCAAGACGGCCCCGGAGAGCCCCGGCACGCTTAAAGATGGGCCCAAGACGCCCGAGATTCGCCCCAGGCGGCCCAAGAGGCGTCCAAGACGCCCGAAGAGGCCTCCCAAGAGGCCTCCCAAGAGGGCCCCGAGCGACAGAAATCGTCGATTTCTAATGTGTTTTTCGATGTTTTCGGCCTCCTCGCCTCTTCGGCTTCCCGACGCTCCAAGACGGCCCAAGAAGTCCCCCCGACCGCTCCAAGACGGCCGAAGAGGACCCCAAGAGAGCCCCAAGACGGGCCAGGAGGGCCCCCAGACGGTCCCAAGACGCCCCAGGACGGCCCCAGGACGGCCCAGGAGGCGCCCAAGACGGCCCAAGAGGCACCCAAGACGACCCCAGGAGCGGCCCAAGACGGCCCAGACAGCCCAAGAGGCGCCGAGGCGGGTCTCAGACGGCCCCAAGACGGCCCAAGAGGCACCCAAGACGGCCCGAGAGGGCCCTAAGAGCCCCCCCGGGAGGCCCAAAAGAAGGCCGAAGAGGCTCCGAAACGGCCCCCACGAAGCCTTCAGTGCCTTCAGAATTCCCTCCAGGAGCGGGGGAGCGGACGAGAGGCGACAGGCATATCGCAGGCAAAAACGCCCCAAGAGATCCCCAAACGGCCCCCACGAAGCCCTAAGTGGCCTCAGAATTGCTTCCAGGAGGGGGGGAGCGGACGAGAGGCGACCGGCATATCGAAGGCACAAAAGAACAATGTTGGACGCTCCGAGGGCCTTCGATGTTTCTCCGTTGGGGAGAGTCGTCGTAGGATCGACGATTGCCGACCGAGGGCAGCGAATCCAGTGGAGGCCCAAGAGGCCCCCAGGAGCCCAAAAGAGATCCCCAAGAGGTGCCACGGGGCTTAAAAACTGCTTCGAAGCGAGGGGGGCGGACGAGGGGACCGCCTCAGGAGGTTTTGGACGGTTTTGGGCCTCAAAATCGTCCGCTTTACGACGGTTTTGGAAGGATTTTGGCCTTCTCGCCTTTTCCGCTTTCCGACGCTCGAAGACGGCCCAAGAGGCCTCCAAGAGCGCCCCAGAACGGCCCAAGAGGTTTCCAAGAGCGCCCCAAGACAGCCCAAGAGGGCCCCAAGACGACCCAAGAGACGCTCAAGACGGCCCACGAGGGCCCGAAGACAGGCCCAAGAGGGGGCCAAGAGGGGGACCACGGACCGAAAATCCGAGCCTTCCGCCCCAAGAGGGCGCCAGGAGGCCCAAACAGGCCCCCAAGAGGCCCCAAGGGGCCGCCAAGAATCCCCCGAAGAGGCCCCAGGAGGCTCCCAAGGAGCCCAAACGAGGCCCCTACAGAGGCCCCAACAGCTTCCAAAATGGCCCCGAAGAGGCCTCGAGCCCGCCTCCGAGCTTCCTCGCCGCGAGGGTGCCAACACGGCCCCAGACCGGCCCAGGACGGCCCAAGGCGCGCTCAAGACGGCCCAAGACGATTCCAAGACGGTCCCAGGAGGGTGCGCCCAGGACGGCCCAAGGACGCGCCCGTTCGGGGCCTCAAGACGGGCCAAGATGGCAAGAGAGTCCCAGCTGGCAAAAATCGTTAATTTTCCATTGTTTACTGTTACACCCTTTGCGTTTCCCGCCGTTTCGGCGGTCCGATGCACCAAGAGGCCCCAGAAAGTCCCAGGAGGGTCCGAGGAACCGCCCAGGAAGGCCCCAAGACGGGCCAAGACGGACCCAGCACAACCCAAGGCGCGCTGCGACGGCTCAAGACGGCTCCAAGACAGCCCCAAGAGGGTGCCAACACGGCCCCTGCTGGGCCCAGGACGGCCCAAGGAGGCGCACAGGAGGGGCCCAAGACGACTCCAAGGCGGCCTCCTCACGGTCCCAGACGGCTCCAAGACAGCCCCACGAGGACCCCGATGGGCCCAGGACGGCCTACGGACGCGCCCATGAGGGGCCCACGACGAACCAAGACGGCCCCATCAGGGCAAACGGCGCCCTCAAGACGGGCCTAGACGGCTCCAAGACGGCCCTTTGAGGGAGCCAACGCGGCCCCACACCCTTCGGGCGCACACTTGGGGGGGCTGGGAGCTTGCGACAAGTCTCCCACATTCATTGTCCTGCCCCATTCTGTTCGCCTGGAGGCCTCCTCCAACCCTGTGGGCGAACAAGAGGAATCCCAGCGGGACGCCAACCCTGGGGCCCGTGGGCCCCGCGCCGCTTGGGCAGAAGACGAACGCCGGGTCTGACAGGCCAGCTACCGCCCCCCTTTGCCCGATATGCTGTGCCATTCTGTTCCCCCAGGGGCCTTGGCAAACTCTTCGGGCCAAGCAGACCGGACCCCTGGGACAGCAGCCAATTGATATGACCCTGGGACCTCTCCGCATTCTTCGGACGAGCATCTGGGGGGCCCAGGAGATTCGGACATGTCTTCCCCATTCCTTGCCCTGTCCCGTTCTGTTCGCCCGAAGGCCTCCACAGACCCTCTGGGCGAACAGAATGGGACATGGCGAACAAACCCTCCCGTTGGCGGTGATGCGACTGGATCGCACCATCAAGGCGCGCCCGGAGGTGATGGCCGACCCAACAGCGGTTTCTCTTAAGAGTTCACTGAATTTCAAATTTTCTTGAAGCTCTCTTGGGCCCTCCCTGTAGATCCTTGCGAGCCTCCCCGGCGCTTTCGGTGGCTTTCCCCGATGGCCTCCCGAGCCCTTCCCCGAGCGCTCCTGAGACGCCTCAGATGGGCTTCGACTTCGACGCACATCCCCGAGAGACTTCGAAACTGTCCTCAATAGGAGGGGGGTGAACGAGCAGTGCGCTGGGCCAAGCTGCTGCAGCGCTGCAAGAGCTCGGACACGAAGGCGCGGTCTCGCTGCCGCCGCCCGAGCCGCCGCCGTGTTTGTAGATTTTCTGTACAATCTGCGCCGTTCCTCCGAGAACCATTCCAGAAAGATGTTGTGGACGGAGTCCACGGGTCAGCCCTAGTCAGCTACAACGCTGGGATCAGCGCGTGCGAGAAGGGCGGGCAGTGGCAGCGGGCGCTGGCGTTGCTGAGCGGAGTTCGGGAGGCGAAGCTGGAGCCCAACGTCATCAGCTACAGCGCTGGGATCAGCGCGTGCGCGAAGGGCGGGCAGTGGCAGTCGGCGCTGGCGTTGTTCAGCGAGATGTGGGAGGCGAAATTGGAGCCCAACGTCATCTCTACTACATTGCAGGCATACGCGCGTCCGAGAGGGTCGGGGGTCGGGGAGCTCCTCCGACGCCCCGGCCCTGGGCGGCGCGGTTTCAAGACGCCCCGGGCGGCTCCGGAGAGGCTCCGGAGGCCCCAAGAGGCCCCCAAGACAGCTCAAGGAGCCCCCAAGACGCCCAAAGAGCGCTCCAAGAGGCCGCCCAGACGGGACAAGAGGCCTGCAAGCGTATTCCCCCGAGGGCCCCGAGCGGCCAAAATCATTTACTTTACGACGGTTTTGGAAGGATTTGGGCCTTCTCGCTTTTTCTGCTTTCCGACGCTCGAAGACGGCCCAAGGCGCCTCCAAGAGCGCCCCAGAACGGCCCAGGAGGCCTCCAAGAGCGCCCCAAGACAGCCCAAGAGGGCCCCAAGACGACCCAAGAGACGCTCAAGACGGCCCACGAGGGCCCGAAGACAGGCCCAAGAGGGGGCCAAGAGGGGGACCACGGACCGAAAATCCGAGCCTTCCGCCCCAAGAGGGCGCCAGGAGGCCCAAACAGGCCCCCAAGAGGCCGCCAAGAATCCCCCGAAGAGGCCCCAGGAGGGTCCCAAGGAGCCCAAACGAGGTCCCAACAGAGGCTCCAACAGCCTCCAAAATGGCCCCAAAGAGGCCTCGAGCCCGCCTCCAGGACGGCCCAAGGCGCGCTCAAGACGGCCCAAGACGACTCCAAGACGGTCCCAGGAGGGTGGGCTTAGGACGGCCCAAGGACGCACCCGGTCGGGGCCTCAAGACGGGCTAAGATGGCAAGAGAGCCCCAGCTGGCAAAAGTCGTTCATTTTCCATTGTTTACTGTTACACCCTTTGCGTTTCCCGCCATTTCGGCGGTCCGATGCACCAAGAGGCCCCAGAAAGTCCCAGGAGGGCCCGAGTACCCAAGACGGGCCAAGACGGACCCAGCACAACCCAAGGCGCGCTGCGACGGTTCAAGATGGCTCCAAGACAGCCCCAAGAGGGTGCCAACACTGCCCCTGCTTGGCCCAGGACGGCCCAAGGAGGCGAACAGGAGGGGCCCAAGACCCCAAGACGACTCCAAGGCGGCCCCCTCACGGTCCCAGACGGCTCCAAGACAGCCCCACGATAGTGCCAACAAGGACCCCGATGGGCCCAGGACGGCCTACGGACGCGCCCATGAGGGGCCCACGACGAACCAAGACGGCCCCATCACGGCAAACGGCGCCCTCAAGATGGGCCTAGACGGCTCCAAGACGGCCCTGTGAGGGAGCCAACGCGGCCCCACACCCTTCGGGCGAACACTTGGGGGGGCTGGGAGCTTGCGACAAGTCCCCCATTCTGTTCGCCTGGAGGCCTCCAACCCTGTGGGCGAACAAGAGGAATCCCAGCGGGACGCCAACCCTGGGGCCCGTGGGCCCCGCGCCGCTTGGGCAGAAGACGAACGCCGGGTCTGACAGGCCAGCTACCGCCCCCTTTGCCCGATATGCTGTGCCATTCTGGGCCTTGGCAAACTCTTCGGGCCAAGCAGACCGGACCCCTGGGACAGCAGCCAATTGATATGACCCAGGGACCTCTCCGCATTCTTCGGACGAGCACCTGGGGGGCCCAGGAGATTCAGACAAGTCTTCCCCATTCCTTGCCCTGTCCCGTTCTGTTCGCCCGAAGGCCTCCACAGACCCTCTGAGCGAACAGAATGGGACATGGCGAACAAACCCTCCCGTTGGCGGTGATGCGACTGGATCGCACCATCAAGGCGTGCCCGGAGGTGATGGCCGACCCAACAGCGGTTTCTCTTAAGAGTTCACTGAATTTCAGATTTTCTTGAAGCTCTCTTGGGCCCTCCCTGTAGCTTTCCCCGATGGCCTCCCAAGCCCTTCCCCAGGCGCTCCTGAGTCGCCTCAGATGGGCTCCGACTTCGACGCACATCCCCGAGAGACTTCGAAACTGCCCTCAATAGGAGGGGTGTGGACGAGCAGTGCGCTGGGCCAAGCTGCTGGAGCGCTGCAAGAACTCGGACACGAAGGCGCGGTCTCGCTGCCGCCGCCCGAGCCGCCGCTGTGTTTGTAGATTTCCGGTACAACCCGCACCGTTTCTTCGAGAACCATTCCAAAAAGATGTTGTGGACGGAGTCCACGGGTCAGCCCTAGTCCCTACTACATTGCAGGGCCCAGTGCATACCAGAAGGGCGCAGGCTCCATTAACCAATAATCGCCCCGGGCTGGCCCCGGGCCGCCTGGGGCCGCCCCGGGAGGCCCCAAGACGCGCCAAGGAGGCCCCAAGAGGCCCCCAAGACGGCTCCGGAGGGCCCCGGCACGCCCAGCGAGGGGCCCAAGACGCTCGAGATTGGCCCAAGACGGCTCCAGAGGCCTCCAAGACGCCCCAAGAGGCCTCCCAAGAGGCGCCCCAAGAGGGCCCCGAGCGGCAGAAACCGTCGATTTCCATTGTGTTTTTCGATGGTTTCGGCCTCCTCGCCTTTTCGGCTTCCCGACGCTCCAAGACGGCCCAAGACGTCCCCCAGACCGCTCCAAGACGACCGAAGAGGACCCCAAGAGAGCCCCAAGACGGGCCAAGAGGGCCCCAAGACGGCCCCAAGACGGCCCAGGACGGCCCCAGGACGGCCCAGGAGGCGCCCAAGACGGCCCAAGAGGCACCCAATACGGCCCCAGGAGCGGCCCAAGACGGCCCAACAGAGCCCTATAGAGGCGCCGAAGCCGGCCTCAGACGGTCCCAAGACGGCCCAAGAGGCACCCAAGACGGCCCAAGAGGGCTCCAGAGCCCCCAAGGAGACCCAAAAGAAGCCCCTCGAAAGGGCCCCCACGAGGCCCTAAGTGGCTTCAGAAATGCCTCCACGAGGGGGTGAGCGGACGAGAGGCGACAGGCATATCGCGGACACAAAAGAGGCGTTTTCGACGCTCCCAGGGCCTTAGATGTTTGTCTCATGGGGGGCGCCGTCGGACCTCCGAACTTGATCCTCGAGGCTCCACGCTCGAGGTCCTGCGCGACGCGCTCTTCAAACGGAGGCTCCCAAGAGCGAGCCGCAACGTCAAGATCTCTGAAATCCACAGCTCCCCAGAGCGAGCGGGGGCCCAAGGAGGCGCACAGGAGGGGCCCAAGACGACTCCAAGGCGGCCTCCTCACGGTCCCAGACGGCTCCAAGACAGCCCCACGAGGACCCCGATGGGCCCAGGACGGCCTACGGACGCGCCCATGAGGAGTCCACGACGAACCAAGACGGCCCCATCAGGGCAAACGGCGCCCTCAAGACGGGCCTAGACGGCTCCAAGACGGCCCTTTGAGGGAGCCAACGCGGCCCCACATTCTTCGGGCGCACACTTGGGGGGGCTGGGAGCTTGCGACAAGTCTCCCACATTCACTGTCCTGCCCCATTCTGTTCGCCTGGAGGCCTCCTCCAACCCTGTGGGCGAACAAGAGGAATCCCAGCGGGACGCCAACCCTGGGGCCCGTGGGCCCCGCGCCGCTTGGGCAGAAGACGAACGCCGGGTCTGACAGGCCAGCTACCGCCCCCCTTTGCCCGATATGCTGTGCCATTCTGTTCCCCCAGGGGCCTTGGCAAACTCTTCGGGCCAAGCAGACCGGACCCCTGGGACAGCAGCCAATTGATATGACCCTGGGACCTCTCCGCATTCTTCGGACGAGCATCTGGGGGGCCCAGGAGATTCGGACATGTCTTCCCCATTCCTTGCCCTGTCCCGTTCTGTTCGCCCGAAGGCCTCCACAGACCCTCTGGGCGAACAGAATGGGACATGGCGAACAAACCCTCCCGTTGGCGGTGATGCGACTGGATCGCACCATCAAGGCGCGCCCGGAGGTGATGGCCGACCCAACAGCGGTTTCTCTTAAGAGTTCACTGGATTTCAAATTTTCTTGAAGCTCTCTTGGGCCCTCCCTGTAGATCCTTGCGAGCCTCCCCGGCGCTTTCGGTGGCTTTCCCCGATGGCCTCCCGAGCCCTTCCCCGAGCGCTCCTGAGACGCCTCAGATGGGCTTCGACTTCGACGCACATCCCCGAGAGACTTCGAAACTGTCCTCAATAGGAGGGGGGTGAACGAGCAGTGCGCTGGGCCAAGCTGCTGCAGCGCTGCAAGAGCTCGGACACGAAGGCGCGGTCTCGCTGCCGGGACGTTCCGCCGAAAACCATTCCAGAAAGATGTCGTGGACGGAGTCCACGGGTCAGCCCTAGTCAGCTACAGCGCTGGGGTCAGCGCGTGCGAGAAGGGCGGGCAGTGGCAGCCTGCGCTGGCTCTGCTGAGCAAGATGCGGGAGGCGAAGCTGGAGCCCGACGTGATCTCTTCTACAATGCAGCGATCTTTGCGTGCCAGAAGGTCCGCTGTCTTGAAATGTCCGCCGGGCCCTCCAGGGCGCCCTGCGAGCCCCCGGGCCGCTCTTAGACGGCTCAGAGACGCCCACGAGGGCGCCCAGACAGACCAAGAGGGACCCAACCGAGCCCCAGGTCGGCCCCAGAGGCCTCCAAGGCAGACCAGGAGGCTCCCAAGGCGGCCCAGGAGGACCCTCAGGAGGGACCCAAGAGGCAAAACTTGCCTCATTCCTCTTCGGAAAACGTACATTTTTGATATGCTCGCTCTTTTCGTCCTCACCGCGTCCAAGACGGCTATACAGGCCTTCCCGATCGCCCCAAGACGCCCCCAGAGCACCCCAGGAGGACCTCCAAACGGCCCGAGGCGGCCCCGCGACGGCTCCAGAGACGCCCTGGACGGCCCCAGAGGCAACTAAGACAGCCCCAAGAGCGGTCAATCACGGCCCAAAACGGCCCCAAGACGGTCCGAGCTACGCCCAAGACGGCCCCACACGGCCCCAAGACGGCCCAAGAGGCACTTTAAGACGGCCCAAGAGGGACCCAAGGGATTCCTGGGAGGCCGGAAAGAGGCCCCTGAACGGCCGGAGGCCCCCACGAGGAATTCAAGACGGCCCAACACGGCCCAAGACGGCCTCCGAGAAGGTCCAAGAGCGCTCCACGACGCCGAAGTTCCCCTTCCGACGGCCCAAGAGGCTTCCCAAAACGCTCCAAGTGGGCTCCACGAGAGCCCGAACAAGCAAAATTCTCCCCAATCTCCGCCCAAGACGGCCCCAAGACGGCCCCAAGCCGGCCCCAGAAGCAACCAAGACGGCCACAAGACGGCCCAAGGGGCACCCAAGACGGCCCAAGAGGGCCCCAAGACGCTCCCAGGAGGTCGCAAGACGGTCCAAGGGAGCCCCAAAAGGCCCCCAGAAAGTTGAAAAGAAATCCCGACAGGCCCCCAAATTGTTCCCAAGAAGAAAGAAATGCCAGCCATCACTGGCCGCATAGGGAGCGTTGCCCTCCTCCGTGGGTGCGGGCGCGAGCGAGAAGGCGCCGAATAATGAACAGCAACATGGGCGCTACTTCCCTTTACTATTGCTTCCCAGCTCCAGGGCGCTCTTGCTCGCTGCCGCCCAAGTGAGGCGAGATACACCAGACGCCTTCAGGGAGCGCAGTCCCAACACAGTCTGATCCCAGAGAGGCGCGGAGACAGCGTTCAAAAGTACGTGGTTCCCTTCGCGTCCACAGCGCCCCCCCATGCACAGCCCACCGTGCGACATTCCGAGCGCCCTAGGGCAGCATCGATCTCTCCCGTGGGCACGAAGCAGGCAGCAGCAGCGGCGGCACACAGCAGCAGCAAGCAGCGGCAGGCAACGGGTAGAAGCACGCACCAAGCGGAACTGGCCATCAGCAACAACCTGCAGACACAAGCAGCAAGAACACGCAGCAGTGGCCTCAAACATTGCCAACAGTACGCAAAAGCGGCAGCAAGCAGCAGCACGCAGTAGCATGCGCGGAATGTGAGATCGGGCCCCACAATCAGATGCCAATTCGTGAAGATTTCGTGGAAGGAGTCCACGGGTCAGTCCTACCGACGTCGCCAGCCCCCTTCTGGTGCCTACAACCCACGACGACGACCACCACCACCACGACAACGACGCCGACTACGACGGGTACGACGGCGGCCTCGCGTCGGCAACGACAACGACGCCGACGATGACGGCGAGGCGACAGCGGCGGCCCCGCGACGGCCAAGCTGCTGGAGCGCTGCTAGGGCTCGGACACGAAGGCGCGGTCTCGCTGCCGCCGCCCCGGTCGACGCCGTGCTTATAGGTATCTGGCAAAATTGAAATTTGCACCGTTTTTCCGAGAACTATTCCAGAAAGATGTCGTGGACGGAGTCTACGGGTCAGCCATAGTCTATACTACAATGCAGGGACCCGCGCGTGCGAGAAGGGCGATTCTGGTCAAAAAGCGTAGCAGGCCCAAGACACGCGGGCCCCAAGAGGCCCCCAAGACGGCCCCAGAGGGCCCCGGGACGCCCCAAGATGGGCCCAAGACGCGCCAAGAGAGCCTCCAGAGGCCCCCAAGACGGCCCCAGAAGGCTCCGGGACGCCCCAAGATGGGCCCAAGACGCCGAAGATTGGGCCAAGACGGCCCCAGAGGCGACCAAAATGCCCCAAGAGGCCCCCCAAGAGGCTTCCCAGCAGGGCCCCGAGCGGGAGAAATCGTCGATTTCCATTGTGTTTTTCTATGTTTTTCGCATTCTCCCCTTTTCGCCGTCCCTGCGCTCCAAGACGGCCCAAGAGGTCCCCAAGACCGCTCCAAGACCACCGACGAGGCCCGCAAGAGGGCCTCAAGACGGGCCAAGAGGGCCCCCAGACGGTCCCAAGACGCCCCAAGACAGCCCAAGACGGCCCCCCAAGACGGCCCCAGAGTGCCCCAAGATAGGCCCAAGACGCGCCTAGAGGGCCCCAAGAGGCCCCCAAGACGGCCCCAGAGGGCTCCGGGACGCTCCAAGATGGGCCCAAGACGCCGACGATTGGGCCAAGACGGCCCCAGAGGCGACCAAAATGCCCCAAGAGGCCCCCCAAGAGGCTTCCCAGCAGGGCCCCGAGCGGGAGAAATCGTCGATTTCCATTGTGTTTTTCTATGTTTTTCGCATTCTCCCCTTTTCGCCGTCCCTGCGCTCCAAGACGGCCCAAGAGGTCCCCAAGACCGCTCCAAGACCACCGACGAGGCCCGCAAGAGGGCCTCAAGACGTGCCAAGAGGGCCCCCAGACGAACCAAAGACGCCCCAAGACAGCCCAAGACAGCCAAGACGGCCCCCAAGACGGCCCCCAGAGTGCTCCCGGACGCCCAAGATAAGCCCAAGACGCGCCAGAGGGCCCCAAGACGGCCCAGAGGGCTTCCGGGACGCTCCAAGATGGGCCAGGAAGCGCCAAGAGAGCTACATAGGCCCCCAAGACGGCCCCAGATGGCTCCGGGACGCCCCAAGATGGGCCCAAGACGCCGAAGATTGGGCCAAGACGGTCCCAGAGGCGGCCAAAATGCCCCAAGAGGCCTCCCAAGAGGCTTCCCAGCAGGGCCCCGAGCGGGAGAAATCGTAGATTTCCATTGTGTTTTTCGATGTTTCTCTCATTCTCCCCTTTTCGCCGTCCCTGCGCTCCAAGACGGCCCAAGAGGTCCCCAAGACCGCTCCAAGACCACCGACGAGGCCCGCAAGAGGGCCTCAAGACGGGCCAAGAGGGCCCCCAGACGGTCCCAAGACGCCCCAAGACAGCCCAAGACGGCCCCCCAAGACGGCCCCAGAGTGCCCCGGGACGGCCCAAGATAGGCCCAAGACGCGCCAAGAGGGCTCCAAGAGGCCCCCAAGATGGCCCCAGAGGGCTCCGGGACGCCCCAAGATGGGCCCAAGACGCCGACGATTGGGCCAAGACGGCCCCAGAGGCGACCAAAATGCTCCAAGAGGCCCCCCAAGAGGCTTCCCAGCAGGGCCCCGAGCGGGAGAAATCGTCGATTTCCATTGTGTTTTTCTATGTTTTTCGCATTCTCCCCTTTTCGCCGTCCCTGCGCTCCAAGACGGCCCAAGAGGTCCCCAAGACCGCTCCAAGACCACCGACGAGGCCCAGAGGGCCTCAAGACGGGCCAAGAGGGCTCCAGACGGTCCCAA